AGAGACGGGGTTTCACCATGTTGACCAGGATGGTCTCGATCTCTTGACCTCGTGATCCACCTGCCTCGGCCTCCCAAAGTGCTGGGATTCCAGGCGTGAGCCACCGCGCCCGGCCATACACGTCTTTATGTATGGAGTAAACATATACTACATACACGTCTTGAGGAGTAAACATACACTATATACACATAGATGACATATGCCATATCATTACAAAGTAAAATTACATCTTACAAATATATCAATGTTTCCGAGGAATGGGACTAATTTCATGTACATCATCTACCTGCATACAAGTATGAATGTTTCCTGATAAAATGATCTAAGTGTCTCTTCCATTGCCATACACACAATTTTGATAGATTGAAGCTCCCTCATCCCCACCCCCACTGGCTAGAAATGCTATAAAGGTGAGTAATTAGCAAAATGTGATTCAAATTCATTCATGGAAAATACGCTAGAAATTTTAAACCAGAAAATAAATGTTATAAAATATATCACTCTATTTATTGTCTTTTTCTTTTCTTTTCTTTCTTTTTTTTTTGGAGATGGAGTCTTGCTCTGTAGCCCAGGCTGGAGTGCAGTGGTGCGATCTCAGCTCATTGCAACCTCTGCCTCCAGGGTCCCAGTTCAAGCAATTCTCCTACCTCAGCCTCCCAAGTAGCTGGGATTATAGGCACTAGCCAACATGCCCAGCTAATTTTTGTATTTTTTTGTAGAGACGGGGTTTCACCACGTTTGCCAGTCTGGTCTTGAACTCCTGACCTCATGATCCACCTGCCTCGGCCTCCCAAAGTGCTGGGATTACAGGTGTGAGCCACTGTGCCCGGCCTTATTGTCTTTATTAGTGCCTCATGCCTAAAGTGGATCTAGACTATGGATTCATATATCTTACTTCAGGAAAAAAGCACACTGAGGTAAGAGAATTCTCTAACTTTTCTTTACATAAAGGTTCATGAGTTGAACAGGTAGTGTTTTTTCATAAAATCAGTTAATAAAAGTTTTTCTTGTATTTTGTACTCTTTTGGTTCATTGATGTGTACTTCTAATTGGCAAGTAGGTTTAGTTATTATATGGGTTTTTTGCTTTGTTTTGCTTTTGAGACAGAGTCTCGCTTTGTTGCCCAGGCTGGAGTGCAGTGGTGAGATCTTGGCTCACTGCAACCTCCACCTCCCAGGTTCAAGCAGTTCTGCCTCAGCCTCCTGAGTAGCTGAGATTATAGGCATGTGCCACCATGCCCAGCTAATTTTTGTATGTTTAATAGAGATGGTGTTTCACCATGTTAGTCAGGCTGGTCTCAAACTCCTGACCTTGTGATCCGCCCACCTCGGCCTCCCAAAGTGCTGGGATTACTGCTGTGAGCCACTGTACGTGGCTGTTTTCCATTTTTCTATATTATGTTTAAACTGCTACTTGCCAGTGTTCTGGTGCATGTATATTTTCAGGAGTGAGCTTCCCCACAAAAATGTATTTTCTCAGGGCTCACCTCAAGCCATGTACTGTAGGTTTCTAGCTTACCTTACAATGTTAATTTCTCAGAGGAATTACTTTTTATTAACTTTATTTCAATTATTTTTCATCATGGTAATATGAATATTTATTTTTGTCTAAAAGCTTTTGTAAGAATTTAATCAACACAGTTATCAACTACTGAATTGTTGCAATTGGTAAAAATATACGAAATCCATATATAACCCTGACAGCAATTAGTTTCACCCACTGCAACCTCTTTTTTTTTTTTTTTTTTTAGACAGTCTCACTCTGTCGCCAGGCTGGAGTGTAGTGGTACAGTCTCAGCTCAGTGCAACCTCTGCCTCCCTAGTTCAAGAGATTCTCCTGCCTCAGCCTCCCGAGTAGCTGGGACTACAGCCACATACCACCATGCCCAGCTAACTTTTGTATTTTTAATAGAGACAGGGTTTCACTATGTTGACTAGGATGGTCTCGATCTCTTGACCTCATGATCCACCCTCCTTGGCCTTTCAAAGTGCAGGGATTACAGGCATGAGCCACTGAGCCCGGCCCTGCAACCTCTTTTTACACCTGTCTTAGAACAAATAAATATAATATTATTTCAGAAGAAGTTCATGTGAGGAGTATCTTACAGAGAAGTAGTTTATCCTCCTGGGAAAGAACAGTGGCCTGTGATAATAGGAGATCTCTCTTTCTCTCTCTCCCTTTGTGTGTTTGTGTGTGCGTGTGTGATCTTTGAAGGCAAGAGTATCATTTATTCATTAATCAGATATCTTTTCTTTTCTAATTTTCCAAACTTATTTTCCATTTTTCCTGTCTGGAAACACTACCAAATGCATAAAAATTTTATGTAATCGAATGACACCTGATATTTGACTCCTTTCTTTTTTAGCCATGAGTTCCAGCTTCCAGTTCATGATGGTTTTAGGTCTCCTACTTTTGCTTCAAAGAAGTATGGGGAAAGCTTCATGGTTTTTGTTTTGTTTGTTTGTTATTTATTTTTTTTGAGATGGAGTCTCGCTCTTTCACCAGGCAGGAATACAATGGCATAATCTCAGCTCACTGCAACCTCTACCTCCTGGGTTCAAGCGATTCTCCTGCCTTGGTCTCCTGAGTAGCTGGGGACTACAAGCACCCACCACCACGCCCAGCTAATTTTTTGTATTTTAGTAGAGATGGGGTTTCACCAAGTTGGCCAGGATGGTCTCCATCTCCTGACCTTGTGATCTCCCACCTAGGCCTCCCAAAGTGCTGGGATTACAGGTGTGAGCCACCGTGCCCGGGCAACACTCATGTCTTTCAATTCAGTGTCTAATGTTTCTGCTTCTGATTGGAGCTTTTAAGTAATTAACATTTGAAGTCTTGAAGGAAGGAGTGTTTCTACACTGTGCAGAGGGTACAGGAGGGCAGGCTGAGCTCCCAGAGTTAAAGCCTTCAGTGTCTCTCCCTCATCACCAGGTGCAGATCCACTCTGGGGCTCTATTTCAGGAGTCAGAATCTGGCTCCCAAGTGTGGGAATCTGTTTAACTTCCTAAAAGGGGGTTTCCTGCTGAAGTGTGGCGAAAACAGGTTACTTCCTAACTAGATGATATTTTTTCTTTTCTTCTCTTCGATTATTTTAATCGACTACATGCTGCCAGGCCAGGCGCAGTGGCTCACACTTGTAATCCCCCTGGAGGCGAAGGTGAGAGGATAACCTGAGGTCAGGAGTTTGAGACCAGCCTGGCCAACATGGTGAAACCCCATCTCTACTAAAAATACAAAAATTCGTCAGGCATGGTGGTGTGCGTCTGTAGTCCCAGCTACTTGGGAGGCTGAGGCAGGAGAATTGCTTGAACCTGGGAGGTGCAGGTTGCAGTAAGCTGAGATTGCACCACTACAATTCAACCTGGGTGACAGAGTGAAACTCAGTCTCAAAAAAAAGCCAAAAACCAAAAAGCCAAAAAACATGCTGCCCTATAATTCCAGGTTTTGTTTTTTTTTTTTTTTTTAAGAAGGAGTTTTGCTTATGTTGCCCAGCTGAAGTACAGTGGCATGCTCTTAGTTCACTGCAACCTGCACCTCCCCGGGTTCAAGCGATTCTCCTGCCTCAGCCTCCCAAGTAGCTGGGATTACAGGGGCCTGCCACCACATCTGGCTAATTTCTTGTATTTTTAGTAGAGATGGGGTTTCACCATGTTGGCCAGGCTGGTCTCGAACTCCAGACCTCAGGTATTCTACCCGCCTCGGCCTCCCAAAATGCTGGGATTACAGGCATGAGCCGCTGCACCTAGCCTATAATTCCACTTTTTTCACACATTTAACAATTTTTTTTCGTTGTTGATGTGCTTTTATCTTCTGGGATGAAAATGAGTAGATTGAAAAATAAGCCTTGAAATCATCTGCAAAAATTATATCGGTGAGAAAATTATGACAGTAAAAGAGACCTGAGCTAACACCTCCCCTTCACCCAGCCCCCGGGCATATCTTTCCCTTAATCCTGGGCCTTTAGGCCCAGCTAATTTTGGATGATAGGCTGAATGATTATAAGCCTTTCCCAAAACTCAACTGCCTTTGAAAAACGAATGAATGGCCATCAGAAGGAATCGGAATTCTGCTAAAGTGTAGACATAGATTGCTAGCCGTTTCTGCAGAAAACACCACTATCGTAGATTGGCCTTTTGAGATACATTTTCAGGTTCTTTTGCACATCTGACACCACCTGCACCTGCCAACTCCGCTCCTGTGGCCCCACCCGGAAGTGATTCGGCACAGTAGGGCAGCTTTTTTTTCTTTCCTTTTTCTTTTTTAAATATAAAGACAGCGTTTCACTCTATGCCCAGACTGGTCTTGAACTACTGGCCTCAAGCGATCCTTCTGCCTCGGCCTCCCGAAGTACTGGGATTACAGGGGTGAGCCACCGCGCCTCGCCAAGAGGACAGATTCCACCCGCTATAATTTCATTCCCACCCCAACCAGTTAGTAGCAAGCCTGGCCACCCCCACCCTTTCCTCCAAACTGCTTTTGAAAAACCTACCTACGGAGCTTGGATGAGAATGATTTGAGTAGTAACTCCGTCTCCCACATATTGTAGCAGGTCTAGTGTTTTATTAAACTTTTTAATTTTTTTCAAACTGCAATGCCGTGGTTTTTATTTGTGTAGCGCGCAAGAAGAACCAGTCCAGCGCTTATAGTGGGAGAAAGGCTTGGTTTTGCAGGCGACAGCCTCATCCCAATTCCTAATCCCCGAAGGACATCAGCCCCCCTCCCCCCACCCTTCCCCAGCTGCCCTCCTGCTTTGAGGCCAGGGGATGGCTCCACTGGACAGTGAGTCTAGGATTCGTTGCACACAATTGTTACTATAGTTAGGAAATTCCGCTTTAAGGCAAACGTTCCCCGGGACTGGTGGGTCACTGCTCAGGGAGGAAGCCCGCCCTGCTAGGGGCGGGGTCTGGAACCTGTTCATCCGGCTGCACTCATCCCTGTGAGATCGCTTATTCTGTCACTCAGTGCCCAGGAGGCGGGATCTGGAACATTATCCAATCAGAGTCGCGGGGGGGGGTTCCTGAGACCTGTCAATCAGGCGCGCGGCCGGGTGAAGGGTGTGACGTTCCAGCAGCCAGTGGCCTCTTCACCCTGGTGACCTCTGTTTCGGCTTCTGTAGCTGAGAGACGCCATGGGGGATCTGTGGAGGCTTCTGTCGCGCTGGGACCTACCCTGGCAGCGGGAGGAGTTGGGAGGACCCGGGACATCGCAAAGCCGGGAAATGGTGAGTGTGCGGGGCCCGGCGTCCTGAGGCTGGGCGGAGGGCTGGTCGGAACCGGTCGGAACCGGCTGTGGCGGGACCCGGGCCTCCCCGCAGCGTCTTTGGGGTCTGGAACCTGAGTTCCCGCGCGCATCTTGGTCCTCGGACCGTTCGGCCACAGGGTGGGGCTGGACCGGCAGCCGGGACCCCGAGCGTCCTGTCCGGTCCGTGAGCGGTGACTGCGGCCCGAGCCCCGACCCCCTCTCTGGGCGGCTCCCCGCCAGCAGCCCCGCGTCTCCCCAGATTCCCTGGCGGAACCGGCACAGGTTCGCGGCCCGAGTCACTGCACCCAGACGCCGAGAGCTGCAGCAGAAACAGTTTAATAGGAGAGGACACCCTAGATTCGCCTCCCTGAGAGGTTTTTGGGGGTGGGGTGTTTAGGAGTCTGGATGGGGGTGGCTGGGGCGTGGGGTCGCTGGTTGGTGGGAAAGTGAGGGGCGCATCCTGGGATAGGAGGTGAAGAACTGCATTCTCCCGCTGGGTGGGCTCATTCGTGGGGTCTTCAGCCTGGTTGGCGCCAGCCTTTCCGCTGGAATTCAGGCTCTGAGAAAGAACTCAGGCGACTCTTGAGCAGCTCTCAGAGATCTTATCCCCAGGCACAGTGGGGAAGCCGGCGTCTGCTGTGACCTGACTCTCAGGGAGGCGGCCCCGGGAGGCGGCCCCGGGAGGCGGCGGGGCTGAGTCGGGCACCTAGTTAATATCAGCTGCAATCTCGCCTCCAGCCTGGCTCGCAGTTCCTGTGAACCCGGTGAGGAGGCTGCACGGTGACGACAGGAGGCAGAATCCAGACTCGTGTGTGGGGTTTGTGTGTGGGAGGAGCTGTGGTCCTTGTGGTCCTCAGTCCCTTCTTTCTTTCCAAGGGTGATCATTAGTCTTACAAAGATTTGGGCATCAGGGTCTCAAATCTACCACCCTGTCTCTTCATCTTAACTCCTCTTAGGGCTGACAGTAAATCTTTTGGTTTCCAGAGCCTTCCATATGCTTACTTCACTCCTCAGTTCACAGTAACATTATGAACCCTTTGTCCCTAAGATGATATTTAAAATAGACACAGTACTTTGTCGTTTGTTTTCAGATAGCAACGAATGGCTTTTTTTAAAAACGATTTATTTTGTTTTCCTTAACATTTCACATGTGAGGAAGAAGAGAATAACCACCTGACGCTCTGCTGTAAAAAAAACCCGAACCTTTGTGCCTCTTTTATCTCCCCTAGGCACAGATGCCTTATCAGAATGTCCTTTACAGGGTGATGTAACCTCAGCCCACTCTGTATCTTTTCCAGGCCCTGTGTTACAGAATTTTCTGGGGCTACCCTAAGATGCTGGCAGCTGCCAGTCTCATGGAGGGCCTAGCGAATATCAGCCCTTGGGTTACTCTTCGAAGAGGACAGCCTAAGGTGTTGGGGTGGGGCCTCCCAAAGGACCAGGTGGATGCCCTGGCGTGGGAGGAATCTTCTGGTTTATCATTCGTGTAAAAAGCTAACCCCTGGGACATTTTCCTCCCCAAGGCTAATTTCCATTCCTTGGTGAAACCTGGCTTATCAACCAATTAGATAGTGTTATTCAGGGGACAAGACAAATGATTTCTGCCTTCTGGACTCTCTCCAACTATGAAGCTAGAAAACTATATCTAAAAACTGGAAAACCCAGCTGAAGGAGGTGGCTCACACCCATAATCCTAGCACTTTGGGAGGACAAGGCGGGCGGATCACAAAGTCAGGAGATCGAGACCATCCTGGCTAACATGGTGAAACCCCAGCTCTACTAAAAATACAAAAAATTAGCCTGATGTGGTGGCAGACGCCTGTAATCCCAGCTACTCAGGAGGCTGAGGCAAGAGAATCGCTTGAGCCTGGGAGGCGGAGGTTGCTGTGAGCCCAGATCGTGCCATTGTGCTCCAGCCTGGGCAACAAGAGTGAAGCTCCGTCTCAAAAAAAAAAAGATGGGAGCCAGAATTGATGTCAGCGAAGGATGTTTCTTTGCACTGGGCTACTTGTCCAGAACAGAAAGATGGTGGGGGGCAGGCAATTTGAGGTGATTTCTTAAATCTTTTTTTTTTTTTGAGATGGAGTCATGGAGGCTCACTGTGTCGCCCAGGCTAGAGTATAATGGCGCGATCTTGGCCCACTGCAACCTCTGCCTCCCTGCAACTTCCGCCTCCCAGGTTTAAGCAATTCTCCTGCCTTAGCCTCCTGAGTAGCTGGGATTACAGGCACATGCAAGCATGCTTGGCTAATTTTTGTATTTTTAGTAGATGTGGGGTTTCATCATGTTGGCCAGGCTGGTCTTGAACTTCTGATCTCGTGATCTGCCTACCTCGGCCTCCCAAAGTTCTGGGATATAATGGGTAAGCCACTGTGCCCAGCTTCTTAAAACATGCTTATTACAGAGCTTGTGTAAAATTGAACGTTATCAGCTGGTTGGTTTTGTCTTCAGTGAATTGAGTAGAAATTGCACAAATTAAAATGTCTTTGAAGGCTGACATACATCTCTTCCATTTAGTTATTCTCGACGTATCCTTTATAACAAACTGATAGCCTTAAGCAACTTGTTTAACTGAATTCTTCAACTTGTAGCAAATTATTAAATCTCACAATAGAGTTGTTGGTTTTATACACTTTGGTTAAAAGGGTGGTCCCTAGGACTTGCATTTGGCATCTGCAATGGGGTTCCTGTTATAGAACTGAACCCTCAATTTGTGGGGTCTGTGCAAATGTTAGGTGATGTCAGCACTGAATTATTGAACTCCAGTTTTTGTTGGAGAATTGTCTCGTGTTCAGCAAATGCTACATATTTGTTGTCAGAAGTAATGTCAGATAAAAGACACCATGGGTCAGAACTATAAATCTGAATTTGTCATTGTTACTCGTTATAGGTTCAGCATGTATTCATCCAGAAGCATAGTTTTACCTCTTCAGTTTCCAGTTAGTTAATATTGCCATTAATATATCATCCATATATTGCTGAAAAGGCAATCCTACTACAGGGTGTCTACCCAAAGGAGTGGAAATCATTATATCAAAAAGTTTTCTGCACTCATGTGTTTATTGCAGATTATTCACAATAGCAAACATGCAAAATAACAGAAGATTGAATAATGAAAATGTGGTATATATGTGGTATATTCACCCAATTGAATATTATTCAGACATTAAAAAGGATGAAATTGTGTCTTTTGCAACAATATGGATGGAATGGGAGGCCATAATCTCAAGTGAAACAACTGACACCGAAAGACAAATACTGACTGTTGTCATTTATAAGTGGGAGTTCAAGAATGTGTATATAGGCCGGGCGCGGTGACTCACGCCTGTAATCCCAGCACTTTGGGAGGCTGAGGAGGGTGAATCATGAGGTCGAGAGATCGAGACCATCCTGGTCAACATGGTGAAACCCCGTCTCTACTAAAAATACAAAAAAAAATTAGCTGGGTGTGGTGGTGCGTGCCTGTAATCCCAGCTACTCAGGAGGCTGAGGCAGGAGAATTGCCTGAACCCAGGAAGTGGAGGTTGCGGTGAGCCGAGATGGCGCCATTGCACTCCAGCCTGGGTAACAAGAGCGAAACTCCGTCTCAAAAAAAAAAAAGAATGCGTATATATATATATATATATATATATATATGGAGACTCACGGGGATGAAGGAGGTTATTTGGTGGATAATGTGGGTTGCTCCAGGGATGGATACACTGAAAAGCCTGACTTTACAAGATGTATATCAGTGTAGTAAAATTGTACTTGTACCCCATGAATATATATATATATAATTTCTATTATATATTACATATAAAAGGAATGTGTGTTTTAGGGTGCTATCCTAGACTACTGAATTAGTAATTCTTGGAACGGGGCCCAATGATCTTGTTTTTATTTTATTTTTTATTTTGGTAGGAGACTTCACTTGGATTTTTTTTTTTTTTTTTTTTTTTTTTGAGATAGAGTCTCACTCTGCTGCCCAGGCTGGAGTACAGTGGCATGTTCTTGGCTCACTGTAACCTCTGCCTCCCAGGTTCAAGCAGTCCTCCTAACTCAGCCTCCTGAGTAGCTGGGACTGCAGGCACCCGCCACCACACCTGGCTAATTTTTGTATTTTTAGTAGAGACTAAAAATACACCATGTTGGCCAGGCTGGTCTTGAACTCCTGACCTCAGGTGATCCACCTGCCTCAGCCTCCCAAAGTGCTGGAATTACAGATGTAAGCCACTGCAACCAGCCCCTCCAATCTGTTTTTTAACAAGCCTTTCAGATTAGTCTCATGCGCATAAAGTATGAGAACTAGTTCTTCAGAGCAACCTGTTAACATATAATGCAAAAAGACATAACTGAAATCTAAATATAATTAGTAACTATATTGGAACACTAGGGAATATTGATTTGATTCAAAGACATCAAGAAAGGATGAACAGTGGGGGAAACACAAAAATTGTGCTGAAAAGGTTTTTGTTTTGTTTATTTGCCTCAGTCTGTTTGACACATGCTGATATCTGAGACTATGAGTCCTGCAGCTTACTCACATTGCAGTGCTCATAGGACTTGACTTTTAAATTCGTTTTTTGATCTTGTTGACAATGCTTTTTTTTTGTTTTGTGTCTACATGCTAACAGTTGATGAATTTTTTAACATATGAGGGGAACATTATAGACCAACAGATTATAGACAAACTTTAGTTTACTAGAAAATCATAATAGCATGTATGGATTAACTATCTGACCAGGCCAGGTACTGTGGCTCATGCCTGTAATCCCAGTGCTTTGGGAAGCCGAGGTTGGTGGATTACCTGACTTCAGGAGTTCGAGACCAGCCTGGCCAACATGGTGAAACCCTGTCTCTACTAAAAATTATCTGGGTGTGGTAGCAGGCACCTGTAATCCCAGCTACTCTTGAGGCTGAGGCAGGAGAATTGCTTGAACTGGGGAGGCAGAGATTGCAACGAGTCAAGATCATGCCATTGTACTCCAGCCTGGGCAA